TGGACAATTGGGAAAACTTGAACATCCATAAATTTAACAGTCATGAATCACTTATCGAGGAACAAGTATAAATCAAAACACAACAAGACCTAACATTCAAAATATTAAATAAATCAAGACACACTCCTAAAACAATAAACCTATATAGAGAAGATCGAACACAAAGAATAGTACCTGATGTAATCCAAATACAGAAAAGTACCTAAAGTACCTGAAGTACCTGAATTGAGGCGTTCGGACGTTCAGATTGATTTCAATTTGAAAGCCACCGGTGGACAGCTGTTTCAGCCTATTGGGCATCGTCAGTACCGGGCAGGCGGTCCTTAATTGAAGACAAAATGAGAAAAACCAAGAAAGTACTTGATAAAAATAGCTGCGTGAACGCAAGCGAAACATAAGTAGGAACGTTCTATTTATTTATTTTTTGATTTTCATGGAATTATTTTCCAGCAGGGAATGTAGAGATTCAAATAACAGGGTATAATGTGTTTAATGAGTTCTTCTCTAGTTTAGGGTCGAAAATGGCAAGTAATATTGAAAAAATTAACTTACCCCCGCATTTTCTTAATGACAAGTCTATACAATCATCATTATTCCTAGAACCCATAACAGCCTCGGAACTAATAACTTTCATCTCAAAATTGAAAAATAATTGCTCCCCAGGGCCGGATGGAATTGATACCAANACATTTACTTCTTTTAAAATTGATTACTTCCTTCCTTTCTTTGGAAGATTCCCACATTTTTCTGTATCAAGATGCAGTAGTAGAAAGACAAAAACTTTCTTTCCCAAAAACATGATGAAACAAATTTATGTTCATAAAGGCTAATGTAGCCTGTGCATAACTACACACCAAAATTGAAATTAGTCTTGATATTAATTCAAGTTATAAATGAAAAATATAAATAAGATAATGTGGTGCTGCAGGTTTTTCCGAATTTTCCTGCAGCTGAGAAAGCAAATGCGCCACTGGAATCAATGAAGTCGCCCCGGAGTGCCAATTAATTTTTTGTTGTTTCATAATTTCTATTACTTTCTTCTTTAATGATAACTCTGATTGAATATATATTTTAAAGTTTAAAGTTCATACTATGAAAGATACAATAAACATTCAAATATTGTATTTAGAAATCTAGAATCTTGAGTTTGAAGGCCATGGTATAGGGGTTAGCATTAGTTTAAGTGATATTCTTCAGTTAATTTTGAGAGCACGTTGAATAAAAAGCTATACAACATGGAAGCTAGTTGGTCGGGAACCGTAAAGCGGCGAAAGTTTTTGAATGTCTTGATATCGATACAGAAGTTAATAATCGGACATAGCACTCAAGAAAGTAGCAAACCATAAACACATATTTTGGACTTTTGGCCGATCATCAGTATGGTGAAGCCAAGTATAAGAATGGGCAACACTTGGTTACCAAAAGATAAAAATACAAATGCACGGAGCCATCAGCAGGAGCCTGCCGCACATTTGTGGTTTCAGTTGATAGATCTTGTTTTCACAAGAAAACTAACGAAATCACCACGGAGGCAGCTATAGCTACCTGCGTGACATCCGGTTCCAGGAAAGTATACAAATATGAAAGTTATTGAGTGTCTTGATATACATACAGAAGTTAATAATCGGACATAGCACTCAAAAAAGTGGCAAACATAGACACGTGATGATGGGCCAAAAGCCTACCCAATAGGTAGTTATAGTAAATTAGTGATTAGATTTTAATATCTAAGATGCATTGCTTCAAAAGTTATTAATTTGCAAAAGTCAGCCGACGAATAGAATTTAGTTCAGAAAGTCACTTCTGAAAGTGCAGCTTATTGCTGTAATTTCGTAAAGAGGACTATGATTCAAAATTAATGGTTGAAGTACAGTTAATCTAATAATAGTCTCGGGAGAATTCTAGAAAAATGAAATTTAGATTGTTAGTCTGAAAGTGTAAACGGACGTCTGAGCGGATTCCAGAGTTTGAGGTATGGTGATTTTGAATATTTTTGAAACTCGTAAACTCAATGTTATGTTCGAACTTACTCGAAATTTACTAATACACAGTGCACTTTGAAATGTCCTGAATGTCAAAATGTAAATCTGATGTTCAATATGATACATAGAGTTGTAAATCATGCCCTAAAGAAAATAACGTCGCCGCCACTGGTAGCCATAAACCAATTGTGACGTATCTAAAAACGCGCGAATGTACGATGTTCGCTGCTACTCTAGATGCATCGAAAATAATGCTACCGATTTCGATGGAATTCGGGCGAAATTTTTCAGCGCATTCGATTACTATATATAAACGCTAGCCACAAGCATATCGACACAGTCAAGAGGAAGTTTTTGTTGAAGTGTTTGTTGTATTTAAAGTAAACAAAAGTTAAGTTGGATTATTGTTCTGTGTCGTCAATTACTGGTAAGCCCACGGGGAAAAACGTAACAATAGACTACCAGAAAATATGTTGTTCGCTCCCAAAGGTTGGATTGGTATTTCTATCCAAATAAACTTCATATTCAAGTATACCTATTTTAGTCTTATACTAGCGATTTCAACTCGGTGTTATTTCATTACGTTGTTTCAAAACTGTTTAATGAATCATTTTCTTATTTTTCACGATACTTATTGTGAATAAAGTAGTTATGAAATTGTTGTATTGAAAATATGTTCGAGTTATTCACTTATATTTAATACACATCAAATGCGTATTATAGAGAGAGAGAGAGATATACATTTATTATCTGAAAGATTGAACAATCTTGTAGATAAACAAATTAGGGCTTAAAATCTAAGATTTATACAAAAATAACTTCACATAGAGTGAGATTGTTAATTGAAAACAGTTTTTTTGTGAAATTATCATATGATAAATAAAAGTTAAAATATAGCAGTTAGTTGGGAATGTATATAATAATATAAAAAAACGATGAATGATGAAAAATAATTTTTATAGTTATAAAAAAGGTTTTATAATACGGATATGCTTGCCATCAGTCTGTAGGTGTAATGCAGGTTCTCAAAATAACATCCGGTAGCCAAATATCTGAAAAGAAATTAATGTTATTGATTTCTTACAAGCTACGAATACATAAATATTCAGTTCTACCATTTGAATCCTTTTATTGATTACAGGTAATTTATTGCAAAAGAAGTGGAAAGGGTTGCGTGATGGCTTTGTAAGAGAAATGAAGAAGAAATCCACATCTTCTGGATCAGGAGCCTGCAGCAAAGCCAAATTATATTTATTTTAAACGTTCAATGTTCCTCAAAGGATCGACACGAAATAAAACGACTGACAGCAACATCGATACCACGTCTAATGCAGCTGAAGAACATGCCTTTTCTGGCGATGGAGAAGATGTAATGTGACCTCCAGTTAGTCAGACGATAAAGAAGAAAAAAGTAAATGCGGCCGACGAAGAATTTTTCATCATCATGAAAAAAATTACCATCTGGAAATCAGCCACAGATATCAAACCAAATGGAGCCAGATGATGAAAAACTATTTTGTTTGTTACACAAAGAGCTTCTTAAAGTAGCAGAGAAAAACAGACTTCAAACAAAAATTGAGTCAATGAAAGTGCGCAATAGACCCATCAACATCTTCTTTTGCATCTGCAACCTTTTCGACTTACAAGAGAGGTTGTTGCACTGAGCAGGGCAATACCCCATTAACGACGTCTGTCTACGACAACCCAACAACCCCATCACCGACATCTACACAGGATTATCAAGAAACTGAATTGATGGAACTGTATGAATGAATCCTAATTTTTGTTCAAATTATTTTTTATTTTTGTTAAACTGATTCTTAGTTTAAAGGTACAAAATTGTTAAAGGTACTGAACAATAAAAAATATTACCTCAAAGTAATCACGAAATTTTTTTCTGCAGATACAGCATCCCGTACCACATAATTTTGACATGGAGTCAAATCATTTTGAATGGCATCCGAAAGTGGTTGAATTACTTTTCACTGTGTTCTCTGAGCTTTGGGTATAATGCTATAAACATTCAGAAACAACAAATCAAAAACATAAATTCACCTTGAAAACCTTGAATAGAATTGAATTTGTCCCAAATGAATCATTGCAGTTTTTTCGAGGTGAATTCTCATTCGATGGATATCTCAACCAAAGCTTCAGTGAAAGAGTTTGCCTTATTTGAATACAGACATAAGCAAAATAGTTCGCTAATTCTATTGAATATACAATCAGTTCGCAATAAGATAGATGACCTGTCAATATTTTTAGAGACTGAGGGATTCCCTACTTTTTTACTTTTGACTGAGCATTGGTTGCAATATGACGAACCATGTTTTATTCCTGACTATCTCATTATTGTCGTAAACAAATGCTTCATGGAGGAACAATCCTCATACATGAAAAAATAGAATTTATTCTTGGACAATACAGTATATTTATCTATCTATCATATTAAGCGTCATTATGTCACGTAGAATTGAATGCACGTTAAATCGTCGACTTTCTCTTCGTTTACGATGTTTACATCGACGGTATGCAAGTCACGCGGTATCTGGACGCAGTAAAAATTGAAGCGCGCAAGTGGGCTCGCGCGCAAATCGCCTCATCTGAACAGGCTCTTAGAAAATGTTATTTTGAGGAAATATGAGAGTTGAGAGTGTCAATGATAGAAACGTAGAACCCAATTTTTGAGAAAGATGAAGAAAATACTTGTTCTTTGCTGACGTAATTAAATTACGGTTATTTTACAAGAAACAAAATACGTATAGGAAATCCAGTGACGTGATGAGAATATGGAATAAGAGAAATGATTCGTCTACGTATGTGTTATGTGACAATCCTTTTTTGTTTGGGATGTATAACCCTATGTCAAAGTACGAAAAGATGGCAAATCTTCAGAACCACGAAACAAATAATCTGGATGGATAATTACTGGCAATGGGTGAGACTGACGTTCATGTCTATGGTAAGTAGTCATAAAGTATATTTTTGTAGTAGGTAACTGGACCACCTGTACAAAGCAACACATTTTTTTCTTTTTTTTTTAATAACCTTTTTTATAGTTTTTATCTTCTGAAATTGTCGAAAACATTTTAAATTCATTTCTGTGGTTGGTAGTTAAAGTAGCGTAATTTTCAACATAACTATTTTATTAACCTGTTGAAGAATTTTGATTACTTTCTGAAATTAGTATATTCAATCCGTTCCGATAATAATGGAGACTCACAATGAGTAAGTTTTCTCGAAATAATTTCCAGTAAATTTTCCACGAATTTTTCCAGAGGTGAGGAGAAAGTACAATGCCCTCACGACCCATCCCACTTTATCAGGAAAAGCCGCATGAGCACGCATTTAGTGAAATGCAAAAGGAACTATCCTGATACGAAGAAAGTAGCATGTGATTTCAATGTTAATCACATAATAGATGAGCGCGATAGGCGGGTATGTTTTTTGTTTTTTTATACCATTATAATATAGTAAACTATGTATAAAAAAATTTGGTTATTCAAGCCAGTTCATTCTATAAAATTTGAATATTGTAATTGAAAATATTTAAGTACTGTTATGAAATTCCTGACACTTATTCTGAACAAACTTGAAATTTGCCATTGAATTAAAATTATTACCTCTGCAGCGAGCTCTACAGGGTGTTTTTGGGAGGTTCAATTAATATTTAAAGGGTTTACGAAAGATAAATCGAATTCATACCCAAGTAGCAAAATAACTGAATAGAAGAAACATCGCAATAACAATCCGGGCAGTGACGGCTCGTGCTTTGGAGAACAGGGGAGGCTAAAGTCATAAAGACTATATACACACAGAAAAGCCCGCCGAAGGCGCGAAATTTTTTTGGGGTACCGCATCAAATACGTAATATTTGCATAAATGCAAACAAAAATTGTGTATTGCCGAAAATTATACGTATAAAACTGACCATTAAAAAACAAAAACAAGGAAAAAGGGTTGTCTTTGAGTTATTTAATATAATTCATTTTTAATTTTTCATTTTTAAACATAAAGTTTAATAAATCTGAAGGAGACTTGCAATTTTGAAACATTTGTGGGTCGCTGGACATTACGATTAATTCATTTTTCAGTTAAGTAACATTGAAAAATGGATACTGAGCTATTAAGTCGTTATAACGTTTTTAGGAAAAATTTTTGGTATAGGATGAAAATTTTTCAAACAACAACAAATCAAAGTAGTTTTATTCAAATCTTACTTTGATTTTCATTAAAAGGGTGTCCAATATTTCATTATAAATCCCATGCAAAAAAAGAAACACTTTCAATCTCCTTGCTTATTTTCCTTAATAATATATGCCCACTGTCTATAAGCAAATTTTTGATGATTTTCTAGGTGCCCGAAAAACGTTACCGTTTAAGAAAGTGCCAAATTGTGAATTATATTTGCCCCATAACATTAAAAGTTCCTTGTAATTGCCGCGATTAATCAAATCTTCGGTTTCATCGGGTCCGTGAAAAGCTACTTAATTCTTGGGAACCCAAATGAATCGTAATATCGATAGGTCTTTTTAAATTCAACCGATTCTCCCTAACCTGATTATTAAAAGAAATTATGGGCTCTTTTTGAGCTGTATCTAAAGCTGTTGCTATATTTTGTTTGTTAACCAATTTCAATTTACAAGTCGAAAATATATGCTCCTTAGATTTAAAATGTCTTTCTGTAGAACGAGGTAAATTTTTTAAATCGGAGTATCCTATTTCAGACCACGTTTGGTATTCGGTTTGTACGGAAAATAAAACACAGGGCCAACAAAAAAGTTTTTCTCGTGTAATGGAGCCGGTTAACCAATCGCATTTATCGTACCAACTAATATTAAATCCTCGATCTTGTCGATTATCTGAGGCTTTAATTGAAATAAAATTTGGTTGAGGCTTTCCCAGTCTGAAGGACATTTCATGTTCAGTATACCGTTTCGAGAAATAACGGCCACATTGTCCAACATAAACACTATCATAAACGGTATGTTAATGGTAAAACTCAGTTTACTTGTAATTATTGTCCATTTTTTTCAGTTCTTTTCTATTGTATTCCATTTTAGCGTCCTGACGAAGTCTCTATTCAGAGACGAAAGCTTGGCGAGGATGTAAGGCTGATTGGTCGTACCAATTTGGGGTGTGGGTCTCTCCGGCCCACTTTAGGTATATATACCACCCTTGCTGCCAACCAACTGGGTAGTATACAGTTCCACGCCAGACTAACTCTCTACAATTTTGTGAGAATAGGTAAAACTATTTCCAGTCCGTTTTGAAGAAGAGCTGGAAATATACCATCCTTTCCGGGAGATTTGAAGAGCTGAAAAGACTTGATAGCCCATTCAATTGCCGGTGTTGTGATAACCTTTTTTGCGACGTCCCATACAGTCTTTCTTTTTTGGGCGTTTAGCCCAATCGAAGATGGGCGGTCTGTTGTTATCAAGAGTCAGATTTCCAGGAAAGTGATTTTCTATCAAAAGCTCCAACGTTTCTTTACTAGAGGTCGTAAATGTTCTATCGGGTCGTTTGAGCGACCCAATTTCAGCAGTGGGCTCTCTAGAGAGAATCTTGTGAATTCTTGTGCTGCGAGGTAAATCAGAGATACTCTCAAAGAACTTTCTCCAAGATTCCTGTTTTGCCTTTCTAATTTCCTTGTTGTATTTCGTTAGAGTGGTTTTATAAAGCTCCCAGTTACCTGACACTTTAGCTCGATTGAATAGTCGTCAAACTTCTATGTGTATCTGGAGAATCAGTGTTATATCTTTTATGAATCAGGCAAACAACTTTGAGAATGAAGATGCTGAATAGGATTCGGTATTTAACGAAAAGTTGTTCACAACTATCCCTATGGTTTGCCCCACATAAAAACCGCAAAGATCTCTTTTGCAACACGCAGACCTAATTCAAGAGTTGTTTACTACAGAATCCCCAAAATGCAATGCCATACCTCAGACGAGACTCTACTAGGGCAAATTCTGACAGCAAATGATTCTGAGGCCAATTTTGCCATCATTTTGTAGACAAGTAAATTTTTTGAACGTGTCTGAGTGAAAGTCCCGTGAAAAATAAACTTTGAAGGAATTTTAAAGAATCACCCCCAATTTTTCATTTCATATATGTATATTCAGATTCATATGTCTCCATATATAGTTTTCCTTCTACCAAGTTTATTTCTACAAAGAGTTAGATGAAAAAAGGTTTTAAATAAATTGTTCAATACAATCAAAAGGGTACAACTGTAATTTTATTCCTAAAAACTTGTACTGAAATTGTATCACTGATTTTGCTACAAGTAGATACTGCTGGATATTTGGTTAGACCAATAATAATAGTGAATTATTTGAAAAAGTACGTACGCCCATGGTATACTGCGAATAGTCGTATAAAATCTGTGCTCCTGAAAATAATACCAAAAACTGAGTTACTGTGGTGTTTTGAGGCTTGAAAAAGGTCATTAAGTATTGATGCTGGTGGGGTTGTAAAAATTTGGATTTTCTTCCCCCCTGGTTTTTCTTTTCGCTAAGGCCCTGACTGCGATGCAAAATATCATGGACAGACTGAAAGATCTATTAAAATAAGATATAAGGAACACTTAGCACACCTAAAATATGGAACATCATTAGTTCATTAATATTAAGTTAACAATAACAGGCATCTAGATGCCTATGAGTGTGATGAAATAAGTAAACATAATAATATTATGAATAACGATGGTGGACCAATACCTATTAGGATACTATATAGCCTAGCAGAGGTTTCTATAGTATAAATGAGGACAATATTGTCTGTAATTTGTAATTTGATGTAATTTTACTCTTGAAGATGATCACTCTTATGTAACATCTGTTTAGTGTGACATTTTATTAATTTTGTTTTGAAATTTCAAAATTTACAGTTCTATATTGAATTACTTATTTCAGAATCATCATGCCATATGTCCTGATAGAAGAGAAATGGAAATGGCTGTTCATTGTGAAGCTGGGCCCCAAAACAATAGATTTCCCATCCCTGAAATAAATGTACCCCAAGGAGAATCATGGGATGATGTGAGTGCCAGTAATACCGCTTTTTTTCTCATCAGAATAACATTTATAAAAGTTACATATTATGTGACTTTGCCATAAATGTTACTTTCACATAATGTGGTTTAGTTAATTACTCTACTTTAATCTAGTAATTTTGAATAGATTAGTTTATTTAGTATGTGCTCAATAGTAAGCCTTAGCGGCCAGGTAACAGTGTATTTATCGTTTTTTGAAATTTGTGACAGACATTCATTTCCAAATTGAATATGGAATTTTTGGAAAAGTATACAGTAGTAGAGTAATATTGAAAATATTACCAACACAAAAAAATGAAGAAGTACAAAAGTTGCTAATATAAATGCAAAACATAAACATATAAAAATACCTGCACTTACAAGTGGCTACAACTAGTAGTACAGCTGCCAGAGTGAGTCATGGCCGGCACCATGTAGATGTAAACACAAATAAATTCACGCCCGGTCGGCGTCTTTGATGTATCGGGTGGAGATTTTATTTTTTGCTGACGTGTGGCGGGGCAGGAAGGTGTCGGATTAGAGCTGTTGTGCACCTCTGCACGAGGTTCGATCAAAAAATATGTGACCATGATCTGACTTCATCGTTACTACGAGGAGCTCCCAATGAATATCTCTTATGATTGTGAACTGTTTAGGAATTGATAAAAATAAGACAAGGTGGTGAAATAACATATATTTTGTTTAGTAAGATTATACAATTAGGTTAAAAACTTATGCTAATCTATTCTAAAGGTTTTTCAGGATGGTGAGTTTTTGATTTTTTTTTAACATTTGTTTTCAAATTTCTATTGGCACATTTCAAAGTATAATAAATTCATACCCTTGTGAAAAGAGAAAATAAATAATCCTAAAGAAAAATATCACAAGGATGAGAAATGTTGATTTTTGAAAACATTTTTCTGAGCTGGTTGTCTATGCAATTAGTCGCACATAAATTGTTGAAATGATCAAGAAATTCTGTCCCTAGATGAATGATACTTTGTAAAAATGAATCTGGAGGCATATATATGAACTTCCAAACTGTTTGGCTTCTGTATTACTACATGCCTTGAAATAACTATAAACATTTGTTGTGGAATTGGCCGCGGTGCTAGTGCGCCCGACTCACGATCGGAAGACCGTGGGTTCGATTCCTGTCTAGACCAGATATTTTTCTCGAGAGAATTTATCTGGTTGAAGCTGGGATGATTCTGCAACCGTGTAAGAAATCACACGTTGAAAGGTAAGACCTCCTTAGCCTTTAGCTCGCTTAAGTTTCTCAACTTCTGAGAGTTGTTGTTCGTATGGGGGAGACAGCTGATTAACGGAAAAACAGATTTGTTTCATTCAGTGTGGTACTTGCCGCCGTGGCAAAATTTGTACATACTTTACATGAATGTTTTCTTAAACATTTTCCCGAAAAATATCCACAAACATAGCCCAAGCTGTTGCCTTTTGGTGTGGCTAGAGTTCTATAATCATTTGTCTCTACTCTCAAAAGTTTTTAGGGATTTATTGGAACTTCCACAAGAATCTTCATTCTATTTCTGTCAGCATCTGGTAATTTGAGAAGAATTTGGGTTTCTGGCATTTCCACAAGTATTTCTAAGTTGACCAAAATAATTTTCCACACAGTCCTGATTTATATTCCTCGTCAATGTGTAGGAGTGTCCTTCACTATGTAGGTTTTCCCAAAGTTGCAGAAATGCCGAAATTGTTATCAGCCACCCCTCAGTGAATCTCATTAGTCCAGTCGTTTTTTTTTCCTTTTTTTTGATATTACAGTTGATTTGCTGAAAAATATTTTCATTTCTTTCAGAAAATCAATTTGTTTTCTGTGTCTATAGTATTTAGTGTTTATAGTAAGGATGATCAATTGAAAAATACAAATGAATATAGGTATTAAATAGATTGAAGCAGAACTTGATGAGTAACAAAAAAGAGGTAGTTTAGCAAACGTTTATTTCGTTTGGTTTCGAATCGTTTTTTTTTATATTATTGGGTCGATTATTGTAAATCAAAATTTCAGTGTAAAATACAGATTTCTTGGTTTTGGATTGCCTAGTTTGCTAATTATGAAGTGTGTCAATCGAATGAAATTCTAATGTTTTTTGTTATTGATGACAGAATCTAAGAATATCTTAGATTCTGTCATCAAGACATATTTACTATTTATAGTAGATTATCTGGAACATATAAATGGGAAGTAGGCTCTAAAAAAGGTTATTTGAAAATACATTTGATACTTTGGTTTTGCAGAAATTTCAGTGGAAGTCCAGTGTTGCGATCTTCATTCGGGTTTGAAGGCCGTCGTGGTTTGGAACTGTATCCTAACATTTCACCAGCACGGGTGGCTGGTTCGCCGACAAACTATCAAGATGAATAAACCTCTGAAGAAGCCAGCCACTCGTGCTGGCGAAACGTTAGGATACAGTTCCTACCGTGTTAGGAATCACACGTTAAAAGGTAAGACCTCGTTAGTCCTTAGCTCGCACAAGTTTCTCAACTTCTGAGAGTTGTCGTTCGTATGGGGGCGACAGCTGATTAACGGAAAAACAGAAAAAACAGATTTTTTTAAACAGAAACCACAACGGCCTTCAAACCCGAATGAAGATCGCAACACTGAAAATCTCGGCCGCGAAAACCTTAACCAATTCAGTGGAAGTAATTGTTTTCCTACAGATACAAATCAAAAAGTTGATGTGGAGGCATATACAATTCGTGAAGTTCAATTTCATCAAATTAATTTCATTAAAAAATCTGCATATTAATGACCCCACTATATATGGTCTATAACAATGTATTTTATGATTTTCGTTATATATTCATTATTTCAATCTTAAATAATAAATTGGAAATAAAAAAAAATAATGTCGACATCACCCTGCAAATTACAGCAACCTACAGCTCGACCATTGTTCATTTTGAAACTAGACACAAATTTTTCACATATACAAAACCGACTCCCTCTGTAATAATATTCCATGCCTCGCTCGCTCGGTAAACACCCCAGATTCAGTTGGTTGCGCTGTAGGTCAGCCGCGCATAAAATTCGAGGTGGGGAATTTTGACACAAATATGGCGGCAGAGAGTGAACTTACTTGTGTCACTGTATAGAAGTAACACTACTTCTATTAAGATGCGTGTGTTTACTTCTATATGGTGTGGCCGGTAAGAAGCCCCTCCCTCAATATGTGAAGTAGATGTGTAGGAATCTGTTAGTCTGTTATATTCTCATATATTGTACTAACGATGAAAATATATTGCAAATATATAGAAAAAAACGTGGTTTATGGAGCATTGCATCCCACTATACCAATTGATGGTATTTTTCAGGTTTCAATGTCTCAATAATGATAATATTACGATCAATCTTATTGACAGAGCTAAGGACAATGATGATGTATGGGATAAAAAACAAGAATTATCAAAAATTTCCCATTGTGATTTTAAAGGAAACTAGCAAACCTAAGTCCGAAATATTTGAGTACTCATAAGTTCCTATGTAGATTACTTCGAAGGAGTTCAATAGATTTCATGTTTTCTCTTCAAATAACACTCTTTACTTTGTCGAGGTGGAATCACCTGAAGATCTATTAAATCAATTCAAATTTATTTCACACTGAACTTTTTATTCAAGTTTTTACTGGTAATGTTTGATTTTAATATATGTATATATTACCCATAATGTCACATATTCTCAGAAAGTGTTCTCCAAAGGTTGTTCATATGTATCAGAAAATAGTGTCATCCGTTCAAAATAATAATGAAAAAACTACGTTTTTTTAATATCCTCATAACAAAACAGACTTCAAATATATTTTCATTGAACATTGTCGATGAAAAAACAATTTTTTTATGGAACCATTTTTTCACTCCTCAAACTCTTAATGAAAACTTGATATGAAAGACACTTATGAAATTTTATTTTGTGCAGTCTAATTATGAGACATATGATCCAAAAAAACGTTGTGAAAAATTACAAATAGTTCGACAAGTGGTACTGGAATCAGCATCAAAGAAGAAACGTTTCAAGATGGCCGAAAGAATGAAAATGACCCAATTGAGCAATCCTGTTACTAGGACGAATGAAAACAACTCTGAAACTTCAGGAAGGGTAAGATACTTTTAATACTAATTTACAGTAAATGGATGAGTTTCTAATGTCCTGGAATATTTCAAACAACCTATAAAAAACTTTGACCACTGGGTACAAACCGGTTTTTTCAAAAACAATATTGATTAAACGCAATAAAACGGACTTTAACTTGTTCAGAATCGACAGATCACTATGAATACCTTCAGTTTCACTTCTATTAATGTGACACGAGGTGGAGTATATTTTTTTATACATTTTGCAAGTAGAATGATGAAGGATCAATATTTCATTTTCAGGTAACATTTTACTGATTTATTTTAAAACATACAGGGTGTAACATAAGTACGTTAAAATATTCAAGTGACGTATTCCTGAGACAATTATAAGAAAAAAAGTCTATATGAACTTGTGTCCGAAAATGATTGGTTTCGGAGATACGGGGTGTTGAAATTGAATTTTTTTGTTCGCTTTTTGAAAATAACTTTTGCAAANTTCCTAGCCAAGTAATTATCATCATTTGATGATATATTCTGTAATCTGCTGATGCATCATCAAATGATAAATACTTTATCATCCAACCTTTGTCATCTCATTACAAAAAGTAATGATATAAATAGACCTAAATGTAGAAACTTAGTCTTTATTCTGATGAGTCTAACTCAATAAGCTAAACGTGCCTCGAGAGACAGTGTCTTTTATCTGGTGTGGGAAAAGTTTATTGTTTTGGTCACTACATTATTGGAATGTTTCTGCGCGGTTTTATTACATTGGTGATAGGCGTGGCTTCGTTACTATTGGTGCAACATCTGTGTTGAACTTCTATCGCCTTAATATATACTCTCAGATAGTTTTGTCAAGTACTTCTATTTCTTCAAACAGGATAACGCAAGTGCCTTCTTTCAATACATGCTAAGCTACAGCTTATTTGTAGGTTTGCCCAAGGCGACAATTTCTCTTGTGTTCAGAGAGCCGGAAACTTACACTTGTTTTCGTAGTTCCGATGCAGACTGACCTGCAGCTACAAAGGGATCCGGTATACCCCTGGTGTTGCTGAAGACTCTCTAAGTTCCTTGTCTAATCTTAGTTTCCGTTGGCGTGAATATTGGTTTCACACTGTGATTATCTAGAATTTTTCCAATCCAGTTTGTAACATAAAGGATCAAAGTTTTTTCATTAACGAAGCTCGTATATATATATATATATATGCGGATGGTTCAATTGCAACAACAGCCATAAAAATGAAAAATCTACTAGCTGAACAATTGACGTCCCACTCCACAGTCGATTTTCTAAGAAAGACATCACCTACTGTTGCTACACTAAAATCCACAATGCCGGAAATAACTTTTTGACAACGTCTAATCAGGCGAATTTTGAATCAAAATACCCACAATCATCTGACGGGAGTTACATAAAATATCAATAATAGGTTAACCTTCACAAATAAAAACCCATTTGGTATCAAACTGTTAACTGTCTTCCAAACTCTGTCAAAGAACCTCAAAGAGGCATGGTTAAATCAAAATTGAAAATTTGCCTACGATGATCTGCCTATTGTGACATCTCTGAATTTTGAGCTCTGTTACGCCAGCGACACAAAGTACGGAAATCGCATTTAAAAAATGCCAAAATTAGGTACTTTTTAGGTGCTTTTTAGGTATGGGAGTCAAAAATTAGGTGCTCTGTGACTTACACCGCAACTCAATACTCAAAGTTGAGTTGCTAGCATTATGTAATGCTAGCAACGCAATGAAAATAATAATAAAATAATGAATGTTAAGGAAACACTATCAGGTGCTAATTAAATTCTAAACGGTAAGGATCGTAAAATTTTCTAATTAATAAACAAAAGCTTCCAATTTCGCTAAACAACAGGTAACAATATGCAATAAAGTCTTGAGATGCTCGTAAACTAATACATAGACAATCAAAATAAAGTGCTAATTAAGTGCTCACTAGATATTCATAGTAAAACTAGTACTGAAAATAGTACTTTTCTCAATAAATAAGGGCAAGATAATTAAGTCCTTATTAGGTACTCACAAGATATTTATACTAAACCTAGATTCCATAATTGCTATGGGGCTCATGGACCTGAAAACCACCATGACTGATGTACTGAATTCCTATAGTACGTTCCTCAATAAATAAGAGCAAGAAAATAAAGTTAATTAGGTGCTCACCAGATAAATAATAGTAAACCTAGATTCCACAATGTCTATGGGGATTATGGACCTGAAAACCACCATGACTGATGAACTGAGTTTTTATAGTACGTTCCTCAATAAATAAGGGCATGAGAATAATGTGCCAATTAGGTGGTCATTAGATATTTATAGAAAATCTAGATTCCATAATTCCTATGAGGCTTATGGACCCGATAAAAATCTGTCTGTTTAAAATCTGTTTTTCCGTTAACCAGCTGTCGCACCCCTACGAACAACAACCCTCAGAAGTCGAAACTTGGGCGAGCTAAGGATTAACGAGGTCTTATCTTTTAACGTGTGATTCCTAACACGGGTTGGACGATAGCAAGTGAAGATCGATCGTTCAGACTAGGGCTTGAACCACCGACCAACACGGCAGTCAATTCGAGTGAGTGAACAAAGCACCCACGCCGAACCGCTTGGCTA